ATATGCAACTTCCATGTGCAGATCCTAAGAGCTTTTTGATAAGCCTCAGTAAAGAGGGAACCTCTTGGTTATGAATATTTTCTTTAAGCAGTCTGAAAATTTCTGGCAACATCTTCACTATTGACTCTCACAAGATTTATTAGGACTTTTGTGGCATGTGGGAAGCATAAGCTCTAAACTTTATCTTATGTTATCCATTGTGAAGACATAGCTTTTTCTTTAAACTAATAGTGTTTCCACCTAAACACATATGGAATTAAATCTGCTGCTAATTTCATTCTCTGTGTACCCTTAAGTCTTGCTCTTTACGTAGTTACCAAGTTACATGGTTATTTTTGGAACAGCAGGCATCTCCACCATAACAGATTTATAATAGGAAGAGAAGTAACATGTTAGTACACAAAATTCAACCCCTAAAAAAAAAAAAAAAAAGTAAAGCACGTTTATTTCCCATTTTCCAAACAAGGCCTATGGAAGAAACTTTGTGTAAAGAAAACCTAGAAAATTATTTTCAGAAACAGAACTATTTTATTTTTCCAATGTTAAAAATCACAAGAGCAAAGCTAGTACATTTATAAAATTTTGCAAAATCCCAAATTTGGGCTCTTCCTTTCTGTGTACTTTTTTTTTTTTAATTTTGTTTTTTTTTTGCACAGCGCATGGGCTAAATTCAGCCATCTTGGTACTTTTAAGACAACAGTGTTAATTTTCCAGTAGTGATAACAACAGCTGGAGCCTTTAGAAACTGCCTTCAACATTAATTCCTTCCTTTTTGCTTCAGTTAGCATTCTGATTCTTTAATGACTTCAGGTCTGACAGTGGCAGAGCTGGCACACATTGCTGACTCCACCCGACAGAGCACATTGGGACTATAAATCTTAGGGCATAGGCAGCTTACAGACATCCTTTGTTTAGATATTTTCTTTCTCGTTATTACAGATGAGCGTGCACTCTACGTTCCTTTATGTTCTGGGGAAATCACATGTGTGTTTGAAAGATACTGTCACTCTGGATTTACTTTTGGTTCTTCTCAAGGCGTTTTGTTTTTTTTTTCCAGGTTTTAATACATCCTTCAATTCTTTTCTAGAGAACAAGTGGAAGGTGTGATCCTTAGATACCATACTTTCCATCTAGTGAAGAATGAGTAAAGAGGAAGCAGGACGTCCAGTATAGTTTTTTAATATGGACTTGGTTAAAATAAATACAATATTAACATGAGATCTAACTGTCCTGCTAGTAAGAGATACGCAGTTAAAAACAGATTACTAGAATTTTCTCCTTTAGCACTGTATTATTTTATTATACGTGCATGAAAAATAATCGTTTTATTGGGCTACTTCATATTGTATTGGCTATTTTACATCATGTTAGGCTAGTTCCTTAAAAATTGTTTTTTCTTATGCTTTTCTTTATTTCACATCTTAATTCCAACTACTCTAGCTTTGTGAGCATATCTGTGTGTGTGTGTGTGTGTGTGTGTGTGACTCTGATTTCTAGTATTAGAGAGATGTTTCCTTCAATGTACGGATGACACCAGGGTCAACATTTTATCTGACACTGAAAGTCAAGTTCAAAAATATAGGATTCACAAAAACTTAGCTTAATCAAATGATTAGGTAAGCAGAAAGTTTTCTAAATATATTAAATAGGATATATATTTGACAACAAAATAAACTCTCAATACATGTTTTTACTCCAAATGTTACTCAGCTTCAATTTTCTTCCAAACTTGGAAATTTCATTGTCATCCATAGGGTTTGGCACAAATTTAACTTTAGGTGAAATAAAACATCCTACCTGTAAAGAGTGGGGAAGTATTATAATCTCTGTTTAATAGACCAAAAAAAAAAATGTGTCTTGAGGTCGATAGGCAGAGGCACAGACTAGGTGGGGCTCAGGTCATCAGCTCCGTCGGCCAGGGGAAATTTCACAGCGTACTCTACTCTAGTGTTCCCAGGGGTTCATAGAACATTTGAGGCATATTTGGGGAATCAAACTAAGACTGAGAAGTTTTTCTTTCCCAAGTAATTCATTTGACCGTATTGTCCACCATCTGCTGTCACCTTATTTCATTAAAGCAAGTGACTTTAATGCCAAAAACACAGGAAGGACATAATCTCAAAATTAATGGCAGTTCTTATGTTGAATAAATTCAGTGCTATGAGAAATGAACTCATTGCTCTTACTCTTCCCACTCCCCTGGGGATGATACAGCTGCTCCATCCTCAGCTCTGAGAACTGGGTGGTTTTGGAAAGAGTATGGTGGGTTTTTTTTTTAATTTTTAATTTATTTCTAGGAGAGAGAGAGACAGCGTGAGCAGGGGAGGGTCAGAGTGAGAGGGAGATACAGACTCTGAAATTGGCTCCAGGCTCTGAGCTGGCAGTCAGCACAGAGCCCGACGCGGGGCTCGAACCCACGAACCGCGAGATCATGACCTAAGCGAAAGTCGGACGCTTAACCGACTAAGCCACCCAGGCGCCCCAAAGATATGGTGGTTTTGACACCATATAATCTTGAAGTGTAGTCTTTGATTTTCTATTTAGCAGCTAAATGGCCAACTGCAGACCAACTTTACTATTATGAAATTCTACTTCTTTGCTTCTCGAAAAGAAATAATAAATCCAGCTCTCAGTTAAATTTTCCTTAATAAAAAATATTTAAAACATCTAGAACTTTGGCATGGACAAATAAGTCCGGAGAACTTTACAACATTGCTTCTATTCCCAAAGATAATAAAATCGAATGTGGAAACCAAATAATTTGAATTCCATCAATAGAAGAACATGGTACACACAAAGTATGGAAAACTATGTAGTTATTAAAAAGAATGAACCAGATCTATGTGTATTGATTTAGAGAAAAGTCAATTTATTTTTCAGTGGAAAAAAACAAGTTGCAAAGTAAATGTGTGTGATATAGTCCCATTATGTAAGAAGCATTAAGACAAACCATATGTGTGTATGTGCTTGGAATGTTTATACAAGCACAGAAAAAATTAGAGAAAGATATATTTCCTTACTATGCTAACTTTATATATTCATTCAAGGTGTTCTCAGCAAAGTGTTCCTGATGCCACTGCTCAAGATTGTTCACCTGCCCCAGACCCCCGTCTTGGCCCCTTCTATCTCCTTCCCTGCTCACTTTTGTCCGTAGCACATACTATCTCTGATGTAGTATTTATTTTACTTATTTAGTTTTAAATTGTTTGTTTTCCTCCACTAGAGTAAGCTCCAGGAAAGCAGGTTTTTGCCTCTTCAGTTCACACACCAAAAAAAAAAAAAAAAAAAAAAACTCTATGTCATAAAAGGGCCTGATGAAGAGTGACCAGTCCATACATATTTGTTAAATCAATACATAAGAAAACTGCTGTGGCTGCTGATCTTAGAAGAAGAGGGAGGTGGGGGATAGTAAGGATACAGTAAAACTTATTTTATACATCTGGTTGGGTTTGCATGACATAAGATGTACAAATTGGTTTTGAAATCTGAGAGAACAATATAATTTATTAAAGAGCAGAACAGCTAGTATACTTCCTGGCATTACTTGACACTCGATGAATGAGTGTTCCTTTCCTCCCTCCCAGACTCCTCCTCATCCCTTATTCTGCAACACATGTGTTTTCCCCTGTGCTCAGAAAAGAATTTGCTTTGTCTTTTAAAATTTAGTGTGAATTAAAAATAACCTGTTAACTCTCTCAAGGTTCTTTGCATTTAATTGTTTAGCAAATTTATTTTGTTTTCCTCTGGCAACTAAGATAGAAAGCAATGGCAAAATGGATCTCTGGGGCAAGCTGGGCTGGGGGTGAAGTTGGTTTACACGATAGCAAAGTGAGAAAGAGGAAAACAGGGAGGTGATGAGAAGGTGGGAGAGGAAAAAAGATAATTGTAGGCTGGGCGCAGCAGATGCCAGGGCCTGGACCCAAAACAAGCAGAGAAGGTGGGGAACACTGAGGAAAGATTGTTGTTAGGGGGTAAGAAGACAGACTGTAGAAATGCAGGAAGATAGAGCATCCTTGGTGGCTCTTCTTCTTTTTTTTTTTTTTTTTTAATTTTCTTACTGTTTGTTTATTTTTGAGAGACAGAGCATGAGTAGGGGAGGGGCACAGAGAGAGGGAGACACAGAATTCAAAGCAAGCTTCAGGCTCTGAGCTGTCAGCACAGAGCCCCACATGGGGCTCAAACCCATGAACTGTGAGATCGTGACCTGAGCTGAAGTTGGACACTTAACTAACTGAGCCACCCAGGTGCCCCCTAACAGCTACTCTTATGACCACCTGATCATCACAGCACCATGGCCTAAAAGGTTTGTGATATCACTGGGTGTAGAGGAGGGAACTGAAACCTCAGAAACTCATCAGCTGGGTTCTTGCACAGGCATTTCAAACACCGTTTTACCTGTGGGAAGTGCCACTCACTGTCCCTTCTTCTCAGGAGAACTGGTGTGTGATTTTCAGAGCTTGGAGAAATGCAAGGTTCTAAGCCTCTGGGCTGCTAAGGAAGTAGCCACTCCTATGGGGTAACTAGTATTTTAATGATCTGAACCTACTAGTGAAATATAGGCAGTATATACAATGCCCTTTTCTGAGAAAATAATTTTAAACACGATTGCGGAACCAAATGGTGCTGTTAGGTCTGGATGGTGAAATCCTGAAGCACCCTCCACAGAATGGCATATCCCAGGCAAGGTTTATGGACTTGAACCTGAGTCAAGTGGTCAGTAGGCAATAATCGCAGCGTGGCATTGAAAGGACTTTCACGGGTCTCCACTTCCTTACCCACTTGAAAAGATTGTCTTGTGACTGACTCCCTCCCACTGACTGAATCCCAATGTATTACCAACATAGACTTTGGGAGCTTTTGTGCTTTAAGAGTTAAACCTATTTGTGTTTCTTTGTGGGTCATATGAATGTCGAGCTAAAGAGAACAGGTAGCTTAAAGATTATGCTCTCTAAACCTTTACCACCAGGCTGAAAAAGGAAACGAATGTCAGAATCTGCCGTATAAGATAATACATTTGATTAGCAGAAAACATTCATGGGAAAGAACACTGGGACAGGAGGCAGCAATATACTGTGGTTGTTGAGGCAAAGCTGAATGTCAGTGCTTAATTGCAAAGCAGGAGGTCATTATCTACTGGCAGCAATTCCCTCGGTGACTTTGTTTGTTTAGTAACAAATTATTGAAGCAGTGGGAGAGCAGTGCACTGGGTAGCAAAGTGCATCTTCTGACGGGGGCTCTCTACTGCCTCGCGTGGCCTGCCTTTGAGGGCTGGGGAATCTGAAGTGAGACAGAGAACATGACAGTGGTCGTGATCCGGTGTGGGGCACCTCTACGCTTCTAATCGCACATGTCTGGATGTGTGGGCATAGACTAGACTGCCCACTCCTATTCCTTTGTCACCACCTGGCTGTGAGATCCAAAGCACAGAGCAAAGTAAGCTGAATCTGTTGGGCAGTCATGAGAAAGAGCCTTACAGACCTACTGCCTCAGGAAAAGTGACGGACTCAGAATCCTAGCCACTAAAATCTATCACAGGGCTACTTACACAGTCCCATCCCTCGGAGCCAAGGGACCCCTTGGTGACTGACCTTGGCTCAGAGAACTCCCTGGGTGACCATCATTAGCTCAAGGACTCCCTGATGACCTTGGGGAACTTTCTTAGACTCTGCGATGCTCTGGGATGCTTTCTCTCTCCTTCACCCAAGGGCAGATTTGACTCATGGTCTGATGGCTCTTCCAGTGTCCCAGCTCTCCTCCTATTTCCTCTCATGCAGGCATCTTCCCTAATAGGGTCCTTGCAGTTTTGATCCCAAACAGGTATCTGCTTCTTGGAGATCCCACACAAGCAAAGCTTCATTTTCTTCCTTTTTAAAATGGGAAGTATTCCTTCATGCCTTCCTTGCAGAGACTTTACAAAGGTTAAATGAGACAATGTAAGAGGAATGCTAAAAACAATGCCTGACATTAGCAGGTGATATATAAATAGTAGCTGTTCTGTTAAGCTGCATGTGGGTTGAGTCATAGCCCGGAAGCTGATGGGAATCCATGTTCCCAGCTGGCGTAAAAGTTGAAATGGTGGCAGAGGCCATGTTCCCCCACCTACTTCATGGGCTCTGAAATATCGAGGAAGTCAAATACCTATCTGATGCATTTCTAGTATTCTGGGAAGTTAGGGGCCTTTTTCAAGATGATATAGAAATATCCACGAAAGATTAAAATCTCTCCTATGAAGCATGGAGGAGGGGGTTCGTTTTCTGGCCCTTTGAACCTTTGAATCCCACTAAACACAGCCTCTCTCCCAGTGATACCTGAATTTAAGTCATACGCCTAGTCGTGTTTCCTGCTAAAGGAGGTGGTGAGCAAGTGGGGGAGATTGGAGAAGGAGAGGTTCCCTGTGTGTGCACTGGGTGTGTGGTAGTGAAGTCTACCTCCCAGTGGGTGTCCTACTGAAAAGTAATGCAAAACTGTCCTGCTCTCAGCCTGGCACAGGGTACAAGAATCCTGTTTTTATCGGAGTTAGTCCAGACACCTGGGAGCCATGGAAATCTGTATTTAATTAAGGAAAAGTAATCAAACTTAAATGTGTGACTTCTCTCTGAAGCACAAATATATGAAGAATATATATCAAGGGTTACATTTTTCAGGCAAACAGACATTTTCAAAAGGGCAACTGGCAAAAAATAGAATCAAGGTGTTGGTGACCAGCAGTGTTAATAGGATCATATCAGGTATCAAGAACATTTTCAAAGTCATCTCTTAGCAGCACTTCTGAAGGGGGGTGGATTTTTGAAAGGACAGTTAAATTATCAGCATGGCTATGCTTTTAAATCCACACTAAAGGCTCTCTTCCTGATGTATGCTCTATGTTCCTTCCTCCTTCAGCCATTTAGCTTTTCTTCACCTCACCCTTGCTGCTTTGTAAGTGTAATGTTCGCTAGAAACAAGTGTTATTCTATTGTTCTCAGGATCCAAGTGTTTTTCAAATCTCTTTGGCTTTTGACCTTGGGCCAATCATAGTCTCTGTTTATGCATGCGGCTGCCCAGCAGGATGTTAATATAAATGCTCTGCGTGCCCAGGTGGGGAGCAGCCCTTTGCATAACTCTCCTAGAGCCAGATGGTCTGGTCGGGTGACTTAGTGCTCAGTCTAAATGTGCCAGAAACTTTAAACCCAGTTATACATCCATTAGGAAAAGATTCACAGATGCTGGTTCTTAATATTCATTTTAATTCTAATCTGGCAGTTCCAAATGGAACCTCACTGCAGGTTTTTTTTGGTTTTGTTTTTGGTTTTGGTTTTTTAGGCAAGAGCTTTGGGCCATCAGTATGGAACTGTGAAGACTCACAGGAGCCTGGAGGGGAATCTGGTCATCTCTTCCCTTTATGGATGAACAAAGCAAGGTGCAGGGAACACAGCCAGGTAGGGAGGGCTCAGAGCTGGCTGATGTCCTGAGGCTCTGGCTATCCTAGAGTCTGGTCGGCTGGCTTGCACAACCTCAGAGGACCTTCCTAGCTGGAGCTGCTCGGTGCGACCACCTTGCACAACATGGAATCAGAGAATTCCAGAGCCCACCAGGGAGCTTTCAGCTCCACCTGCCTACCCAGGTCTCACGGGTGGAAATGAAGTAGGGCTAACGAAATAGATGGCTTTCCAGAGGTGTCACAACCAGAGGAAGAAGTATCTCTGAAGTGATACTCAGACTGTCATTCCACATATTCAGATCTGAAGTGATTCCACAGACTCAGAGAAGGGAAGCCAAGAATAAAGTCCACTGCTCGCAAGTATCGTAGTATTCATCACAGACCAGGCTGCCTTTCTATTTTGCTATACTTCAGGGAAATTAATTTTTGGAATCATTTTTTATCAATATTTAATGTTATCAATACTTAATTCCATCAATTAATAATTAGATCAATAATTCTTAATTTTAATATAGGAATTTAGAATTTTGGTGGGGACAGAATATTTGCATATTTTCCCTCCCTTTGTGTGTGCTCTTTCTCATAGCAAAGATTTCTAATTAGCTTCTAAGCCAGAAAGAAGTCAGATCCTCCGATAGGGAAGACCTGTGTACTGTAAAGGTTCACTGGGGAAGGTATGCCCTTCGGTAGGTTTTCCTAGCAAGAATCATTCTCCTGGTTTCGGAACTTTTAGGTTTAGCCAACATGGCTGGATTAGCTGGATTAGTTGGACTTTACAATCCACCATGTGTCTCCTGGCACTTATCTGACTGTATCCTTGGAACCAGAGAACTCATCAGACGTTTCTGGTTGTTTACCAAAGATCTGCAAATATTTCATTACGTATGAATGTGTGAATATGTATATGTTTTTAGCTAACATTCACTAAGTACTTCGTTATGTCCTAGGCACCGAGAAAAGTACTTTACATTGTTTACTTCACTCTGGGGAGCATATGTTAATATTTCCATCTTATGGATGAAGGAACTGAAGCCTTTAAGCAGTTAGGTGACTTACTTAAAGTTGCATAGCTGGTCAGTTGCAGAAGCCATCTTCCAAGACCTAAAACGTATTTTCAAGCTGAGTGCTCTACTGTTCTCTTCATAAAGGAGGTATAACCTGTCTTACATCCAGGTCTGGAGTTCTCAGAGGAAGCTTTCCAACTTCTGGATCATTAAAAATCACTTAATCTTCCATAAAGAAAGCAAGTACCCACATTCTGCTGCCTACTGTGTCCAGGCTTTGGCAACCATAAAAGAAAAAGAAAAGATAAGAATTCAGTTCTTGTCCAAAGCCCAACTGCTTCAGTATTTCATCTGTTTTCCAGGAGCAAAGAAGGATCTTTAAGAAAGGAATTAATCTCACACAAAAAAAAATAACTCGAAACTGAGGGGAAACATAGTTTTTCCCTTTACTCTAATCTAACCTCTCTTTGAAAATGATGAACCATTTATGAGCTATCCCTCCACACATCTTGAACCTTCCTATGTAGAGAGGTAACCTTTAAAACTATGTTCCATTAGTTAAGTTCTCCTAAGAGCAAAACTCTTCATTTTATTTTCTTTTGTGGATCTAGATATAGTTAGTGATTAAAAGAATAAAGGGGCATGTACTGATATTCCTTTCACAGATGATTCTAAAATTGCCTCATTGGTTTCTGCTGTCTTACAGGTTAGTACAATTTTGTTTGGTAGGATTAAGTTAACTTTTTTTTTGTATTTACAAAATTGTTATCATACCCTTTGGTGTGTATTTTAACGTAGCCCTACATGGTTTGTTGTGAAATGTTAAGTATGGCTCAATAATAGAAATGTTCATTAAATATTAATATGAAAATAATAAAGAAAAAGATATATCAATATCGATAACTGCCACAAAAGCATTTAGTAAAAATTCAACAATCATCCCTAATAAAAAATTGTTGGATAGAAGAGAAAGAAATCCTCTTAGCATTAAACACATACACATACAATTCCAAAATTAACGTCAAATACATTTGGTAGTAAAACACGAAAAGAATTCCATTAAAGTGAGCCCGACACTAGGCCGATCACTGTCAATGCTATTATATAACTTAGCTTAAACGTTTCAAAAAAGTAAAAAAGTAAGCCTAGACAAACTGTGTTTTGTTTATAACATAGTTAGAATGACAGCATTTTTCATGGTCTTGGTGTATTTTACAGCTGCAGCAGTTTATTCAGGACCTTTGGAGGGTTACGAAATTGGAGGCCTCATCAGAGTGGGTTGTAGGGTTCAGTGCCTCACTATTCACAGCCTTGACGGGGCCCCTGACAGCTGTTTGGCTGCAATGTGGCTGGGCCTGGTGTAACTGTCATTTTGGTTTACTGTAACAGACTTGGCACTTCTGCTTCTTCAGATAAGATTAGAAACCTTGGTTTATCTTCTCAATAAAGTTATTGATCCCACATCAATGTCTCAACCAGTCCCAAGCACAGCACATTCACAATGCAGCTTTAGCAATAAGATCTAACCACGTTCTCCATGAAATCCAGCCGAGAAGTGATACAGAATAGAGGGTAAGCGTGCAAACTCTCTGGAATCCAGCAGTCTAGATCCAAATCTTGGCTCTGCGGATTACTAGCTGGGTGACTCAGGGCTTGTTACTTACCCTCTCTGTGCTTCACAGTCTTTGTCAATAAAATGGAAATGACAAAATTAATAGCATCTACTTTGTAGTTTTGTTGTGAGTTTTAAATGAGCTAAGTAGTTAAAGTGCTATGAAGTGCTTGCCATTCCTTTTTTTTTTTTTTTTAAACAATTTCTTCTTTATTTTATTTATTTATTTTTTTAATATTTTTATTTACTTCTAGGAGAGAGAGAGAGAGAGACAGCGTGAGCAGGGGAGGGTCAGAGAGAGAGGGAGTCACAGACTGAAACAGGCTCCAGGCTCTGAGCTGGCAGTCAGCACAGAGCCCGACGCGGGGCTCGAACCCACGAACCGCGAGATCATGACCCAAGCGAAAGTCGGACGCTTAACCGACTAAGCCACCCAGGCGCCCCAGTGCTTGCCATTCCTACTAAAGCTGTTGTAAAATGTGACTCAGCCAGGTAATGTAGTGCATTTGTGTATGATACATAAACACTTCCTCTACAACTGCTATAAACAATCCTCACTGCTGACTATCCTGACTGTACCAGGAGTCAGGCTGAGACACTCCTTTACATCCCATTATGGCCACAAGAGACATTAAAAATTGTATAATCTGTTTTATTTCACAGACAAGGAGCTAGGATCTAGAGAGGTGATGCCACTTGCCCAAGCTCACAAAGTTAATTGGCAACCAGTTCAAGCTGATACGTCTTGGTTATATTAAGAACAGATAATCCAGGGCACCTCGGTAGCTCAGTCAGTTAAGCTCTGACTTCGGCTCAGGTCTTGATCTCACAGTTCGTGGGTTTGGGCCCCGTGATCAGCTCAGTGCTAACAGCTCAAAGTCTGGAGCCTGCTTAGGATTCTGTCTCCCTCTCTCATTGCCCCTCCCCCGCTCATACTCACACACTCTCTCTGTCTCAAGAATAAACGTTGAAAAAAATTTTTTAAATAAAGAACAGACCGTCTGAATGTTATTTATTCCCACAGTGAAGTTTATGCTCATAAAACAATCACAATAATGAATAATAAAACCACGCAATCATGCTAGGGTATTTCTCTTGTGGGAGAGTTGAATGGGATATATTTTCTGATTCTAAACTTGTTGGAATATGTAAGCAAAAGAATAATGACACGCCATTTTTGGATTTTTCTTTACATTTATTTCTTTAAAGTTCTTGAAACTATGAATGCAAAATGGGATGGTCCTCTTACACACATCTCCCTGTGTCTCACACAAGGCCAAACTCATTTAATATTTGATGAATGTTGAAGGGAAAGTAACTCTGTCACTGATAGTTCCTGACAAAAAGGTTAAATCCACTGTCTCCAATCTCAGAACAGAAAAATAAGCCAAAATTCTCTAGTCATAATCTTTCCCAATCATTATTTCCCAAGACTCTCCATTGTTCATGTCACACTCAATTTGCTTCCATAATCACCCTTTTATCTCCATCCTTATTTTCCATTTTGAAAATGAAGATGCCGAATTCCAGACCACGTTCCTTTTTAAATGTCTTCTGAAACACCAGGGGCTAGCTTCTAACTGATATGTAAAAAAGTCTTAAATAGAAGTTGTTTTAATGCTCGTGACTGCTGACTGCCTTCAATTTTAAGGGGCAGGAACTACTAGCTTCGGTGAGAGGTTCACCATTTATTGTTTGTTAATTATAAAACTGGCTAAAGTAGGAAAGTAAAAGCCAGATCTTTTAAAAGCCGGATGATCACTTGTAATTGTTTTGTATTGAAATTGCAAAACACACTAGTCTAGCTCCCTGATTCCCTGGAGGAAAGGATTTTAAAACCATTTCCACAACCTGATGACAGCCTTGTCAGAAAAACAAAAACAAAAACAAAAACCTCTGACTTACTCAATGCTGCCTGAAATCTGCCATTAAAGAGTCACTCTTTAGGTCGTGTTTTCAGAGTTTGGCTAATTTTCAGTCACCTGAGCTCCTGACCCCACCTGAGTTTTGCTGAATCAGAATCTTCTGGAGAGCCGTTTAGGAATGTGCATTTTTCACAAGGATTCCAGATGTTTCTGGGAGCTTACGATGTTTGAAAATCTCTATTTTGATTTAAGATATATATTCTCTAATTAAGGGGCATATCTCTCACAAATTCAAGAAATTTAGCTCTTTGGCGAATGGCTTCCATCTGAACCTAAGTGATCCTATCCTAGCATGATTCCAAAGCAAGAGCTGTGAGTAATACTACTGAGGAAGGAGGAACAGCATGTAAAGAGGAAAGACAAACTTCCAGAGTATGCCCAGCAGTGGGCCTTGGACCCACCCTTGATATCAGCAGGGTAGGAGGAAACTAAACTTTACCCTGGGGACGATGCTCTCGGTTCTTTCTCCAGAACTCAGCCTTGTGTTACTTTCTGAAGTAAAAATTACTGGATTCTTTAAAGTCTGCATATTTGTTGGAGTTTATGGTAAAATAGATACCTTCTTTTTGGAAACAGCTTTTTGGGAAAGAATAAGAGAATAAACTAATAAACTAATTACTGAGGATGTGAAATCCTGACTGTTCAGGTAAGTTATACTCTAAAAGTTATTTTTTCTTAGTTTTAAAAATTAATTAATTAATTAATTTTATTTTAGAGAGAGTACACAAGAGCCAGGGACAGGGACAGAGGGAGAGAGAGAGAGAATCTTAGGCAGGCTTTGCAGTGAGCATGGCTCTAGCCCACACCCCTGGGATCATGACCTGAGCTGTAATTAAGAGTCGAGCTACCCAGGCTCACCTATTAGTTTTGTTTGTTTGTTTGTTTGTTATTTTAAATGATATCACGGTGCAAAATATTTTGTAGTGTACAGTTTTCTACATTTGCTTTGCATTATATATTGAAATCCAAAGCATACGCTTCCTTTTAGTGATTTTGGCAACCCAGGGTCCTGGCTTCCTTTAGTTTAGGTGTGGGGCATATAAGCAAACCTCTCACTACTGGAATGAAAGAATAAAGATCATACTAGAGACTCCAGCTCCGCCTTTTGTAGTAACAAACAAATGCGTGGACAAGCTAACAAACATTAAGCATCTGTGGCAATGCCTGCATTACTATGAGAACATCTCATCATATTTGGACTTTTTATAATACGATAAAACCAGAATTACTTGTACATGATGTGTAAGAGGTCCATCTTGAAATGACTTGTGCTGTAATTTTTAAAAAATTATGATGCAGGCATGGGTTTATTTAATTTTAGGTAATGATATCTGAATCTAAAAACTTGAACATGGCACAAAATGATTAATGCAAGTGCAGGGCTTATCATCCAATGCAACTCTTCTTTAAATTATAAAGAATGGAAAATGTCTTTTTAATTTTTAATTCTCTTTTTATTTTATGACTTGTGCAACCCTTTGAATCATATAAGATATTAAATAATATCAAACTAGACAGCTGAATTATAAATCAAAACCTCTGAAATGACCTAAGACAATATGGTAAAGAATAAATAGGTAAGTGGGTGAATAGACGGATGGATTTCAAACAAGAAAGAGACATAATATCTTTCATATTTCATCAGTATTACTGTACTGTTGGTACAGAAAATAGACTCAAAAAGAGGTTAGGAGACCAATAAAAAATGACTTAGTAAAGAAGGA